TAAGTCCTGGAGGCTTGAAATAAAAGCCATAAGTCCGGGAGGAACCATGGAGGGTTGAAGCTGAACCATAGCATACATGTTTCCATATGAGGTGATCTCTAGTAGTCAGAGAAATAGGAGACCCAGTTTAAAGGAAGCTAGAGCGAGGAATCACACGTCGAGCCATGTTTTGATATCGAGAAGACTTACTCATTCGTCATGAAAGGGAGCCACCATCCAAGGAAGTTCCAATACTGTGAGAATACTCAGACGACAGTTCGCAGAGAATTTAATGAAAGCCGAGTTGAAGTTGAGATAACATGTTTAAGAAGATGAAGACTTATACATTTTGCATACCTGTGCCGAATGCCACAACTCTCGAGTTGGAAATTGTGGGCAGATGGACGATGTGCCGATAGAAAATTTCTAGAAGTCGAGAATAGATAGAACACTTCACTGACAACACCCGGAGAGTTACCATTGTTCGAAATCACGCGTACGTATTTTCAAAATGTTACCGAGAAGACCACTTGACCGACAAATGAAATTCAATTGACCTGATGATGGGGAAGGACCCATGTCAAGAGCACCAAACCGAGAGACTCCAAGAAGCTGCAATAGCTGAAGACCCAGACGCCAAGAAGCTACAAGAGCTGAAGACCCAGACGCCAAGAAGCTGCAAGAACTGAAGACCCAGATCCGAATTGTGAATTGTTGGACCAAGAGCGTCACCGTAGGGTGCGCCCGATGGTTCGTGAAGAAAGGAGATGAGCACTAATAACCAAAAGTTATGTAGACTCAAGGAGGAGAGTAAGTACTCACCTTTGAAAGTCGAGAAGTTGTTGACCCATGAAGACAATAAGTTCCAAGATTGAACTTGAAGCTCAGACATCCTCTACGAGAAAGTTGAGGAGCCCGAAGCCTCAATTTCAGAAAGCACGAGAAAGTTGAGGTGATGAAGTCATCTCTACATACTAGTGGTGTACGACATCACTAGTTTTAGAATAGACGTTGAAGGAAGAAAGAACAAAAAAGCCGCAACATTGAAATTTTAAGTACCATTGGGTAAATTTTACCCATATAAGTAGTGAGACCCTCGATTTGTATCAAGAAGAAGTTAGATCCAGTAGTAGTGCGCCGAGTTAACTCAACGTCGCAGTATCGTTAAGCCACTAGCATAAGACATGGATACGACTGTGTTATGATTGCAGGAAAAACTGACGTCGCAGGTACATCACACGTAGGTATAGCATGCATGTGTTCTGCGCCTGTGGGCCCTGGGTAGTGGGTAAGCCGCATGCAACATACCGTGTGCAACATACCGTATCGTCAGGAGCCGGGTCACAGCTAGTCGAACCGCAATTGCTAGTTGTCCTCATAAATATTACAGATCGATGGATGATCAGAATGCTTAGATGTTTGCGTTTTGAATGACAAATCCGTTCGAAAGAGCGATTTGCTACTAAGATAGTTATTAAATGTCGATTGATATGACATCGTAGAATTTAGTACGGACACGTGTGGATCGCTGACGTACAAGAAAGAAATAGCGAGAGAAAGATCCTCGGTCAATAGTAAATTGACAGACAATAAGGAAGAGATCAGCGATCCATGCTAAGACTGAGGCAACCCTGAACCGACGAAAGTCGCATACAGACCAGCCACAGAAAGAGTTTGAGACCAGTGTGAATAGCAAGATGACCCTGAGGGTCACAATTGTAGATGAGCAACAGTTTAGTTAGCCCAGTCATTCTCAACATATAGCCGAGACGGCGAGCTAAGCCTAACAGTTGAGGCTTTGCTGCCGGAATTCTCAGGGAATGTTGAGCGATTCTTCCCCACGTCTCGAATTCGAGAAGATGTGCTCGAGCTTGAACACGTGGAATACTTAGATGAGCCTCACGTTGATCCGAGTTGACCCGTGAGATAGTACCTATGGCCGCCGTGTGGCGGAAGGTACACTAGTCAGAGAGTCGAGAAGTAGGTCTCTCTGAGTCCAGGAGTGTCGCCGTAGCTAGGGCGATGCTGCGAAGAGTATCGATGAGCTTCTTTTGAAATTCCCCAGTATAGTTTTTAAGTTTTGTCTTGGGTTTTATCTAAGGCACATAGTGAGATTTTAGCGAGTCGCCATGGCAAACTAGTACCAGCAAGACCGACCGATGCCGGAACAGACCTATTACAATATCCAGACAGAGACCCAGTTCTCGAACATGGGTTAACGGTGTATAACAGCCATAAGGCCGGGTAAATTATGGAGTCTTGAAATAAGAGTCACTTGTCCGAATTTACCTGGGGGCTTGATACCAGAGTTGCCATGGCATAGCCGATATCAATAGCAGGAGGAAGACAGAATTCAGAGTTAGATTTGAGATTCATTTATATGGCCTTAAAGTTTAGAGGTTTGACATATACCTTAGTTTAGCATTTCTAAGTTCGTGGAAAAAGTGCTTGGTTGGCCAGCAAGTGAAGGTTGAGCACAAGTTTCCACCCCAGTTTCGTGCAACCACTAGAGCTCGTTGTGAAAGTGGAAGCACGTTACCATGGATTTTGTTACGGGATTACTCAAATCGAAAGAGAAGCTCGATGTGGTTTGGGTAGTTGTGGACCGACTAGTGAAGTCAACCCGCTTTTTACCGTGAGGATGACGATGACCATGGAGCAGATTGCCAGTATTTACATTCGTGGGATTGCTCGATTCCACAGAGTAGCCGAGACCATAGTGTCAGACCGAGATCCCCATTTCATAGGCTCATTCGAGATCCTCGATCGAGTGGGCGAGATAGTATACCGTTTGGCGTTGCCACCAGAGTTTTCGGTTGTGCGCAACGTCTTTCACATGTCGATGTTGAGAAATTACGTACATGATCTAAGGCACGTGTTGAATTTTAGAAAGCTTGAGGTCGGCCAAGATCCGACTTACGAGGAGCAGTCGATAGCAATTTTGGACCGAAAGGTCCAACGGCTGAGGAATAGAGATATATCTCTAGCCCGAGTTCGCTAAAGTCGCCGCGGCGAGGCCGAGGCCACTTGGGAGCGAGAGGATAAGATCCACACTCGTTACCCAGAGTTTCAGTTCTTATTAGTATTATATATTTTCGATTCCTAGTTTCTAGTCGAGTCGGACTTATGTTAGTTTTGGCATTTCCGAGGACGGAAATATTTTAAGGAGGATTGATTGTAACGCACAGATTTTTATTTACTATTTATGGAGCTCGACTATATTTCCCTAAATATTAAGTTTCTAAATTTGATGCATTTATTATATTTATTTGCATTAAAATAAATAATTAGTATTTAAGTCTAAGCCACGAATAATTCATTCGATTTTAATTATTAAAGTCGGAATTTTATTTAAGCAAACCGAAGCTGAATAATTTAATTATTCGAGCCCAATGGGTTCTGAGCGGATCCAAATTATAATTTTAGTCGGCCATTTTAATTCGAATAGTCGAATTAATTTCCAAGCCCAAGCGACAATTTTAATATCGAGCCCTCGTAGTATTTTAATTCCGAGCCCAATATTAATTTTCGGTCAAGTCGAAATAATTACTACAAGCCGTCACATATTGGTCCTGTTTGTTTTTTAGCGGTTTGCTCTTAAAAGAGCTTTTCCATATTTTTAGCTGTTTGACTTTATAAATCTGTCAAAATAAGGTGTTTGGAAAATAGCTTTTACACACAGCTTTTTTGGACCAACCGCTGAAATTAAAAACGCTGCATTAACGTTTGAGATTAGCTTATCAAATTAAGAAAACAAAAAGTCCTAATTGCCCATGATTCTCCTCTTATCCTTCCATTTTTTCTTTCCATTTCCAAAAAATCATCTCTTTCGCTGTATCCCTTTCGATTGCTCTTCACGATCGCCGACCACCGTCTCCTCCTCCGTCAGCACATCCTACGACGCATCCCACTCTCTTGTCGAATTCCTTTCACACGAAGGTACTCTCTCGCACTCCCGCTCTCGCTCTCTTTCTCTCTCTCTCACTCACACACACACACAAACATACACGCTCTCTCTCTTTATGTTCATCATCAATTTGAAAGAAATATGGTATTTGGGATTAGAGAGTAAACAAAGTAACTGATAGTTCCAAATCTTAAATTTAGGGTTTGCAGATTGGTGATTGATTTGGGAACAAGAATTTGATGTTTCATTTTTTCCCTCTTTTCTACAACAATCTATATTACATTTTGATGTTGGAATATAAAATCTGGGGGACTAAGGAAAAATGTTTCTGTAAGTTGAGTAGTTTATCATTTGAATACACCAATAATTTTCTGTTGAAGAAGCAGAAAAAAAAAATGGTTTATTGAACTTAGTCCTCAAATAAGAGTAAGAAGATTGATTTGATTGTGCCTGTAATGCAGCATTTAATTATATTATCATTAAATCTTTTAGCTTGTTATGTAGTGGAGCTTGTTATGATATCTTAATTATGTATAGTTAATACGAAATCTGAACAGAGCAACTTATGTGTTCACAAGTTCTTAGTGTACAGGGACGAGACATTCATGATAGTAGTGGAAGTAAGTGATTAAGATCCTCAACAGTAAGTTACATGTTTCTGTAATTGCGTGTAGTGTCTGTCGGAATGCGGGCAATGAATCAAATTTCCTGGTTTATATGAGAATCAGTTTTGACAATTTACTTTTTTTTTTTTGGTATTTCATCTAGTGTCTTAAAATTCGATTAATAATTGTGTACTTGGTAACTTCACAAAATTCAATTAATGTGATTTTAGCTTTGTAATTTATTTGGTGTTTAGATGAAAACCCCTATTGAAAAGAACCTTGAAGGAAGTGAAGGAGGTGAAAAAGACAACAAAGGAGGTAGAGTTTATTGGTCCAAAGAATTAATATATCTCCTTTGTGATCTTTGTATCGAATATGCTGAAAAGAGTAGGGGTAGAAGTGGAGCTATCACAGGTCAAATATTAGCGTGGAAAAAGGTGGAATCTGAGTTTAAAAAAAGAACTAGCTTGCCATGGGATAAAAATAAATTAAAGAACAAAGTGGATTGGATGAGAACTAGGTGGAGCCTGTGGAAACAATTGAAAGGCAAGGAGACCGGATTAGGTTGGGATCATATAAAAGGAACGATTGATGCTATAGATGAATGGTGGGCTTTGAAAATTAAGGTTGGTTTACTTTTAAGTTTTTATTTGCTTAGTTCTCATTTTAAAGAGTGCAAATCTTAGTTATATATTTTCACGTGTTACGTTTAGGAAAACTCCAAGTATGAAGTGTTTCGAGAAGAAGGGATTGAGACAGAGCTTGAGTGCAAAATGGATCAAATTTTTGCTATTTCTGCACAAGGAAAACTTAAATTTACTCTAGTCTCAAGTTCACAGCAAAACCATGTGATGCAAGAAGTTGATGAGGTGTATATTCCTTCTCCATTACATGAAAGCGGCAATGATAATAATGGTGGTGACAATTGTTGTGCGGTAGATGAACCATGGGATGAGGTATGGAGAGAGATTAGCCCGCCACGTACATCTACCCCTATCCTTTCTCCTTGTGACACACAAATTGAAGCAAATGATGGGAGAAAAGGTAAGAGGTCCTTTGTTGGGGACTTCTCACAAAGTAGTAAGGCTGCAAGAACCAACTCAGGTAAGAGAGCAGGGGCTGCAACAATTCAAGAAATGTTTGGAGGAATGATGCAAACAATTTCAGAAAGAAACCATTCAACGGAGGAAATTACTACTTCAATGAAGAATATGATGAGTTTGCACATGGATATAGCGAAGTCAATGAAGGAAAAGTCTAACTATGACCTTGGAGATGCTATGGCTAAATTGTGCACTCTTTCAGATTTGACTAGGGGTGAAAGCGGGGTGGATAATTTCCGCATCCGATCCGATCCGAATCCGCGTTACGAGGATATGGATTAAGGTTTTAGATATCCATGAGGATATGGATAATCCGCATCCGATTGTTGCGGATATGGAGGAGGATATGGTATTGGCAATATCCGGTGGATATGGATTATCCGACAATTTAAAGTGGATTATCCGACCTTTATAAGAGGATATCCGATTATTTTACATAGCCCTAAATAATATAATCCCGGTCCAACTAGCCCACACAAACCATATAAAATTACTCATCGGCAGACACCCTAAAAGCTAAGGATACGGCGGCTGGTTCCACAATCATCTCGCATGCAGGTCGCTGTTAGCGACATCTATTTGCATCTTCGTTCCCCGGCCGCCGCTACTCTCGTGCGTGCTACTGTTTTCTTCGACACAACAAGTCAGCACTAGGTATTGTATTGCATTTTATTATTTTTTTACCCAATCTTGTAATTGTTCTTCCAGTTCCGACTTTCTACAGCCAGCCTCACTCCAGGCCGGCACACCGCACATGTACGAATCGTTTTGTTGGTGAACGAATGAGTTATCTCCTAGAAGATCGATGGCATCATCATGATCTTTCTAGCATCTATGGACCATTGTGGTTGTATGGATCTTTTGGGGCCTTGGTGTAGATCATTCATATGTCGATCCCCACTGGATAGTTGATACAAATCCCTACCCAGAAGAGATCTATATATCTGTATCACTGCATGCATGATGCATCTATATATAGCTCGGACCTATGACTATTAGGCTATGATTTTGTATAGCGGGTGTATTGCTTAATTATTAATGGTTTAGCTTAGCTAGTTGTGAACTAGCTATGTACTTGGCTCGTCTCGTTAGCTAAGTACCTAAGGAACTCAATGTTTTGTGTTCTTTTTAATTTTACTTGCAACTTTGCTTTATTAATTATTATTCGTCATAAAGAGTTGAGTAGAAGCATGTATTATCCGACTATATAAATCCGCATCCGATCCGCTTCCGCTCCGAATCCGTACCATCTCTGATATCCGAAACAATCCGCATCCACATCCGTATCCGCCCAATATCCGCTCCGCTCCAAATCCACAAAAATAAAATGGATTAGGATGTGGGAAAGGCATTATCCGCACCGCACCGCACCGTTTTCATCCCTAGATTTGACGGCCACTTCACCAGAATTTTTCTTTGCTTGCAAGATGTTCGAAGATCCACAAAAATGAATTATTTTTTTTGGATTGCCTGATACATGTATAAGGAGCATAAGAAAACAGATAGTTAAGTTTATTATGTCTTTACTTTTTAATTGTATTATCTTGAATGATGTGTTCCTTTTATTTTCTAGACATTGTTTTGGGTTGTATGATAATGTTGGATGTTTATCTATTGATGGTTTATTTTGATTTTTGTACTTTCTACAATTAACTTTGTTAATCTATGAAGTTATTTTTGTAAAATTGATATAATTCTTTTATTCTAATTTTTGCAGGCATGGAAAGTAATGACGTGAAAATTAGGCAACTTCTTCTATATGAACAACAATATCTTCAATGCCTACAGTACTTGAAAGAAGAAGATGAATTTTGGGATATGATGACTTGTGCTACGTGTTATGCATATTGGTATTTTTTGAATCATATATATAAAGAACCGTGCATGACATCATTTTTAACAGGAGAAAGGTGGATAAATGAATTATTGAGCGGCCATGAAAAACGATGTTTTAATGCCCTTAGAATGACCCAGAACACATTTCACCAATTATGTTTAGATTTAGAGAATAGATACGGTTTAAGGGCATCAAGTAGGATGTCAGTATTAGAGAAAGTGGGGTTATTTGTATATGTACTTAGTAAGGGTGCTTCTAATAGAGATACTCAGGAGTGCTTTCAACATTCTGGCGAAACCGTGAGTAGAATTTTCAAACAAGTTTTAGATTCTATGGATAGCTTTTCAAGAGATATACTTGTACCGAAAGATCCCGAGTTCAAGGATATTCCAACACATATTTCCAATGATGAGAGATATATGCCATATTTTAAGGTAACATTTTCGTTGCTTTTCTCTCTTTTTTTTTTTCTTTTCTATTGAAGATGATGATAATATAACTTTTATTATGTCATATTAGGATTGTATTGGAGCTATTGATGGTACTCATATTGCGATAACCGTACCTGAAGAGGATCAAATTCGTTACAGGGGAAGAAAAGGGATCTCGACTACAAATGTTCTAGCAGTGTGTGATTTTGATTTGTTGTTCACATACGTTTTAACTGGATGGGAGGGATCAACACATGATTCTCGTATTTTCCTTGATACGATCAATGATCCAAATCTCAATTTTCCAAAACCTCCATTAGGTATCTTGTACTTATCATTTATATGCATTGTTGCGCACATACACACACACATGCCTTTGATATAATTTAATTCTAGTATAACTTGTGTACGTTTAGGTAAATATTACTTGGTAGACAAAGGATACCCAGAAAGAGAAGGTTATTTAACGCCTTACACCAAGACAAGATATCATCAGTCTGAGTTTCGTAGTTCAAACCCGAGGGGATCTCAAGAAGTCTTTAATCGGGCTCATTCATCTTTAAGAAGTTGTATTGAAAGGGCTTTTGGTGTTCTTAAGGCTCGATGGAAGATACTGCATAAAATGTTGAGTTATTCGTTAATGGATCAAAATAGAATCATTTGTTCATGTTTTGCACTTCATAATTATATCAGAAGAAGCACAATTGGTGATCCGGGCTTTAGAGTTATTGATGCGAATCCTGAATTCATACCTCCTGATGTGTTCCACGATGTTGAAAATAATTCTGCACAAGGTGATGGGGAAATGAGAACTCGGGAGATGGCAAACGTTCGTAATGATATAGCTTCAAGTTTGATGGCATCCAGACGTCGTTCTTAGAGCATTTGTTTTTTCTTTTCTTTTATTTTTTATTTTTTAATTGTAATAGCAAAATTGCAATTGAGCCACATTTATATTCTCCATTAGTATGACTTGTTGTTGGCTTTGTTTTTATGGCGTGAACTTATTTACTCGATTTGAAATATTATTTATATTTTTTATCATATTTAAATCATTTTAATAAATATTTAAAATATTAAATATTTTTATTTCCTAAATCATTATAAGTTCAACATAAATTAGAATAATAAAGTATGTTGATGTCCTTATAAGTAATTTTACATATTAACAGTTAATTAAAAAGGCTAATTTTACCAAACACTTTTTTACAAACCGCTAACACGATCAGCTGGTCAAAACAACTAATGCAATCTGCTGGTCAAAACAGCTAACACAATCAGCTAACAGCTAACAGCTAACAGCTGATTACCAAATAAGGTATTTAACCAGTTAATTTAATTAGTTCGAGTTCGACTAATTTTATTAACCGGGCATTTAAATTTCCTAGTCACTATCCAAATTAATCGAGCCTGAGTGTTAGGATTTTTACTAGCCCGATTATATAACATTTTTTATGAGCCCGACATTAGTAATTGTTAGGCCCGATTTTAAGCCCAACACAAAAGAAAACCCTAAGCTCATATATACCTCTATAAATATATTGTCTCCTATCTTCCAACATAAAACCCTAGCCTCCCTCTACACCACTATTCATCATCTTCCTCACTACACCATCTTAAATTCAAGATCCAATCAAAAATTTAGCTTCAAAAATCCAAACCCACCTTCAAACACCAAAGAAAAAGCAAGCTTTCTTCTACCTCCATCATGGCTTGAAGCTTTCCGGCGAGATCTCCTCTTCCCCGGCGAATCTCCGGCGAGCCGGCAGCCGAGCCGCCTCTCCACATGCACAGTAGCTCGTCCACGCCTCAGTCCGTCGTTCCTTAGCTCGTCCTTGCCGGAAAACAGCAAAACTCCCAGCCCGAACTCGTAGCTCCTCTCACGACCACCACAACTCCACCCTCAGCCGTGTTTTTTCGGCGAGCCCATCCCACGTCCGAGCTGGCAGCTGCACCTTCGTCCTCAGCTCTATTTCCAGCACCAAGCTCACGCACCACCGCCGTACCCAGCTCTTAGTCGCGTTTTCGGTGACTCAAGCTCAAGATCCGGCCACCTCTGTCCGCGGCCCACATCTCCTTCACGACCCCAGCCCGGTTCACGTCCGTACTACGCGCGAGCCAGCACCTCCACGTGCGCGACCGAGCTCAGGTCTGAACCACCTTGCACAATGCCCGACCAGATCCATCCAGCAGCAGTTTCGGCCCATTTTCAGCAAGCTTGAAGCTCCATTCCGATCCGATTCGCTTTTTGACTCTTGTTCTTAGCTCGATCTCTTCTTGACCTGCCGTTTTCGCTCGATTTAAGGTATAATAACTCGAACTCGGTTTTCATGGCTTAGATATGGTATTTGAGATGAAATAAAGATGTGAATTTGATGATTTGAGCGAAAATTGAATTATCGGGATTTTTATGAGCTTGGACCGATCGATTTTTCGATCTCTTTATACATAAGTGATAAAATTATCATTTAAATTTGATAAATCATTATTAATTTTCTTGAGGCTTAGGTAAAAATTTGAGAATTTTCGGGGTTCGTTTGATAGGCGAACCGATTTTATGTGTATTTGACCGGTTGTAGCGATTACTAGTTAATTGGGTTAGGAGTTGAACTTGGACTTGATTTGTTGACCGTGGACCATTCATATATAGAGGATGTTATGTTTCGATTTGCGTAAATTTTGGATGTTGTTTAACTTAATTATAAAAATCGAAACTTTAGACGTTAATGCGGTAAAAATAAAATATTTGTTTGATTGAGATTTTAGCTGCAGTTGTGGATTACAGATTTATTATAAATCACATAGAATATATATATATATATATATTAATTATCAGCCTTAAATGAGTTAGGATTTTCGAGAATCAAAACCCTAGTTTTATTCGGTTCCGGTAACCGAGTATTTTTCTGGATCCGACTATAAATGTATGAACCCTAGTACCGCCTGAATAATTATTAACCGTCGTATCGTTAATTCGTAATTTGCATCGTCGTCTCGCGCCCGTGACCGTCTCTCGTCCGACCGTTGGAGCCGAACTGCCGAGTGCGTGCCCGTGCACCGAGTCCGAGTCAACCCCCGAGTGTGTGCCCGAGCACCAAGTCCATCCAACCTACCGTCTACGCGCTGCTTCGTTAGCCGTGGTCCAAGCACGCCCTTGCGTCAGTGACCGTGGCACCATTTCAAACTCGTGCATCGGCTAAGCCGTGTCAGTCGAGTTCGTGCCGGCCCGAGTTGCCACGCCGAACTCAGACCACGGTCAAACCGAGCTGCACATAGTCGAGCGAATGACCGACCAACTCCAAGTGAGCTGTCGGTCCAGTTCAGTTGAACCGGTCTGGTCAGTATGGACGGTTCGAGATATATTTCAGATAAATTTCAGATTCAGTCAGATTAAGACTTTAGATATATTTAGGATTTCAGATATAGTTGAGATTCCAGATAAAGTTGAGATTTCGGATAGATTAAGATCCAGATATAGTTTAGATTTCAGTCAGATTAGATCAAGTCAGATTTTAGTTCCAGACTTAGAAATATTTCAGAGAACTCTAGAATGTCTCAAAGACAATAATATTTTCAAAGTCATCTCGTAAATCCCTAAAATGATTTTTTAAAGCAGAGTGAGCGAACCTAGACAATAAGATATTAAAGATTTGAGTTTTATTCTGAGCCTAGTACTTAGAATATTTCGCTCGTAAATTTTGTAGCTTTAGGAGAGTCGAGCCTCCATCAGCTACCCATTTCAGATATTTCAGCATTTACATTCGCCAATTTCCAGGTGGGGACCATGTACTGTGTATTTCATCGCTTTTAATAATTTACCATGTCTGAGATCTATATGTGATAAAATTGAAGGACCGAGACAGATCAGTGATCCCGTCTTGGTCAAGATGTCAGATGTCAGTTGTGACTTGGGTGAGTGGGCGATGCCTAGCCTAAGTCTAGCGTCCAGATGGGGTGATTAGTGCCTTTCCTAGATTTCTGTGGGAGGGGATCCCCAGAGTGTGCACATGAGTACCGGTTTACCGTTAGTCTCATAGCCAGACCAGTTTTTTTCATATATATGTTGATTTCATAGTTTGTTATTAATTGTGCTGAGTATTCAGTGTCGGTCCCGGCGGAGCACCGTTGATTCCTTTGTGCTCACGCCTCCGCACTACCATATTTTTCAGGTGATGGAGTCCAGCGTGGAGTTTGAGCCAGATGTGATGGTGGTCATCAGTCAGGATATTTGTGTTATGTTATGTTTTGTATTGTTTGATTTATTTATGCCTTAGTTATGTTTAATTGATTGTTTGTATGCCTTTGATGTTTGAACCTATATTTGCTTCCGCATTCCAGAACTATATTTCAGAATTTTAGACTAGTATTTCAGGACTTCAGACTAGTGTTTCAGTATTTCAGAATTTCAGATTAGTATTTCAGTATTTCAGAATTTCAGACTAGTATTTCAGTATCTCAGACTATGCATGCTTAAATCCTGAGATGTTCATGGTGCCTTATTAGAGTAATGGATTATTCTCGGTTGCATGCCTAATAGTTTAAAGATACTAAATATTTAAGATTAAAGTTGAGTAGCATCCCGCATATTAAAGGTAAAGTATTTTTGAAAAAATAATATGAATTTTCGAAAATTAAATCAGTGCTTTCCATTTATAGCGCGAAAAATTTACTTTGATTTTAGTAAGTTTAAGAGCGGTGTTACAAAATAGGTCTCAGGTATGAAAGGTTAAATAATTACACTCTCTTAGCTTTACAATATACTTATATACTTTATTCTCTTTCATAATTTGACTGACTTAATCGTAGGAAGCCTATCGCCAGGAACACTCCCGACATGTTTTGCAGGATACTCCGATGATCAAACTAGTTCAAGGTGACATGCGTCATATTTACGTGCATTTTATAGTGATTTTCGTGTCCATTTCGTCGTAGTTTTATATATAATTAGTTATTGTTTAATTAATTATTATATATTTAATTATATATTTTATTAATTTTATTAAGCTATGACGAGGTGTTTTATTTTGAGTTTTGATAGAAAATCGGTTCGAATAATTATTGAAGTCGAAAAGGGTGCGAAACAGATATATAAAGAGTGCGAGTCATGCATGTGGACGAGCCCAATACACAGCCCGCAAGAAGAAAGGAAACCAGCCCAATTGATATTGCGTATGGGCCTTACAAATTCAGCCCAAAGAAGCCATTTAATTAAGGGTAGACTAGTCATTTGACAAGAAGGTGGAATCATCTTCTTCCTCATCATGTACGTGGACGTGAGGCAGCCATGGAAGCTTCGCTGAAGCTCGTCAACTGACGTTTCGCCGCTGCTGCACCATCTTTCTCCGTCGTCGCCAGCTATCCGACCGCCATCACCATCACTAAGCCGGAGAATCCGTGTGAAGATCGAGTTACCGCCGGAGGAGAAGCTCGCGACTGGAGCTCGCATAGCCGGCCACATGGACGTAATCTGACCACCTGGAAGCCATGTAAGACCACCGGGAGATGACTGAGAACCCGTAGAACACGCATCAAGAGCCGAAATACACCAAGAAAACAGAGTCAGCCTTCCTAGGTCCACACGGGTCGTGTGAGTTCGGACACGACTCGTGTCGTTCCGACGGGTCACGTAACCTGCTCTCGGAATTCTCACACGACTCGTGTGATGAGTGACACGAGTCGTGTGACCGTGGGCGCGACCAATACGCGTTTTACGTGTTTTTTCGATTTTTAGGGATTTTTTGACCTATTTCGACTAGGACTCGACCTCAACTATATAAGTAACACTTGGGCACGTTTTAGAAGTGTCTAGGACCATATTTTCAGATCTTGGGAGAGTTTTGGAGGCTAGAAACACGAGCAAGACGAGGAAAAAAGCCCGGAAAGAAGGGATCGACGAGCTGAATATGCTTTTTCTTTCTTTTTTTTTTCCCCTTTCGAACTCAACCTTTTATGTTTATTTTTCTTATATTGAAAGCATGTTTCTAGGCTAGATTTATCTTAGATTCTAGGATTTGTTAGTACTCGGATTGATTTATGATTTAGTTTTTATTTATTTCATTCTGGTTTATCTTTCGTTTATGAATTTCTTTTGCGTATATTTATTGTGTGAGTAGATGGCCACTATGAATGCATATTTGTGATCGATTTGAGACCGAGAGGAGATAATTGATTGCTAGAATTGGGAAATTTATAACGTAGGAGACTAAACAAACCGAGAGGTTGATTGAATCTTACGAGAGAACGAAAATCCTAGGAACTTATGGGAGTTAGTTGTTCATCTTGAGACCGAGAGGAGATAGATAACAATTAATATCTACGATTTGCTTGTTCGAGAGAAAGGTGGAAATCAATTTAGCGATTATCTGTACGATTGGTAAAATTAAGTAAGGTTTGTATGAATATAAAAGTTTCATGAATTAATTCCGAGGAAAGCATAACCTAGAATATATCTTTATATTTTGATTTATTTTTATTGTTCTAGGTAAATTAGTTTTTAGTTTAATTTCATAGTTTAAAATCATCATCTCATTCGTTAGTCTAAATAATATTTAATCGTCATTATTTTAGTACTTAATTAATTTAACTACAATCTCTGTGGAATACGACCTTGCTCACCACTACCTATAGCTACACCGTACACTTGCGGATAGCAAAAATAATTAGCGAACACAAGGTCACTAGAAGAGGGTTTGTAAAGGAATTGTATATCAGATTGTGTACATGTATACATAGATTAGATTCTCAAAAAATTCGACTGAAAAAAATACAATAATTTTAGTTTTTTTTAACTGATTAATTGTCGAGCTGTAGATAGCCAGGGTCTTTTTTTTTTCCAAAGGCAAATAACCAACTTCAGAAAAACTCAACCAAGATAATCCGGTAACCAAATGATTACAACTTTACAAGCACAACAAATGCAGCAGCTAACAACACGAAACTAGATAAAAACCTAGATTTAACAGGAAATAAGCCAAAGCCAAATACCCACAGTCTAATAACAAGTACCAATAAACACATTATATTGCATAATCAAGTCCCTAATTCTAGCCAAATCAGTGCTAAGCCCATCCTTAATAACTAAACTGCTAGAAATATCCTCAACCAAGTCAGCTGAGTGCAGTAAAAAAGATAAATTGCTGCAGCTATTACTCTTAGCGTTAGTCAGACTCCAAACAATAGCCCTCATCCATCCTTCATTTTCCAGCAACACTCCTTGTAAAAT